ACATGGGATTGTATTGCATACAATTTTGCGGGTTGAAAGTTACATACCCCAGTTTTAAAGCCATATTTTTGTGGTTGGATAAATGTTTTAAAAAGAAGTGCTGCATACAAGTTTGGAGAGTATTTTAGTGCAGAACTAAACATGTTGAAGCCCGGGTCTAAACCAGGACTAAGGTCTAATTGTTCTTATATGACATTCCCATGACTTGAGCTACATTGCACATTTCCCACAGTGATGTTGGGCCATGAATGCAGCGTGACTGAATTTAAAACGGTCAAATCATGTTACGGACAGATGTATCGATCTCAATTGGACTGGACTGTGGGCTCATGAGTCTGGTGGGGGAGGGGCCGCTCAATGCAATCACTCAAGTCTGGTCCAGTGCGTTTCAGAGCATGGGCCATTAGCCGTGTTGTAATTACACACATTTTGAAATAGAATTATGATAACTTCAAGCTAGCTTAAGTATGTCTACACATATGTACAATGGAATTTCTTGATAATATAATGGTTATAAACTAGAAAATAACTCCTCTAAAGTAACACAGAATATTATCGGATATACAGTGGTCTCTTTCACATTTCGGGGCCTCGCTGTTTGGCGTTTTTTTAAATGTACATCATCATACAACCACTAGTATAACATCTATTATCTTTAAAAGTGTTTTCTCTTACTCTGCAGTCTAACTCTCTGCAGTCTCTGGTCTCCCTCTCTCTCCAGTCGCTGGTCTATTCCTTTCTCTGGTTTGTGGTGTCTCTCTCTCTCTCTCTCTCTCTCTCTCTGGTCTCTGGCCTCTCTCTCAACATAGTTACTGAGCTAGAGGAGTTCACTTTCCAATGCAAGTCAATATGAGCCAGAGCGAGTTGGAACACATCTGGTCCATGAGCACTTCCCAAATGGGATTCATTGAGCTTGCGCCTTAGCCTTGTCCATTTTTCTGCTTCTTTAAACCAAAAGTATCGCCTCATAATTGCCAATTTCCATTTCAAAATTACATTATTCCTAAACTGTGTGCATTCAATTAGATCACAGCATGTAATCAGTTTAATATTCCAATTCCTCGTCTTACTGATTACCAACCGTTGCATGGAGAGAGACAATAGACAATGCTCAATATGCAAATACAGGTCAGAGCTGTTTACTGCTCTCAATGATCCATATAATGTACTTTTCCCAGTACAACTAACATAATTTCCAAGTTTACCACTATAAATGACCCATATAATGTGGTTTATTCCCAGTACAATTAACCCCAGTCTGAGCAGCTGAAATTGTGCTTGTTCCTTAAAAACAGATTGCAGAGCACAGTAGCGTCATGCTCCACTTTCCCACAACATTTATCACTGTCGCTGCTATTTTGTTTATTTCCCCCGCGCAGCTTGGAAATGTTTAGGGAGCTTCTTCCAGCAGTTTTTTCAGTGTATAGGTGGGAAAAGCAGAAGTGCTGAGACAGAGTTTTACAAACATATATAAATATAAATAGTAGGAATGTATTTCATTGGGTTTCATGGTAAGACGTCAAAGAGGACAAAACAAGCAAAAATTGAAACTTCAGCGTAAGAAGAGTTCCTTTCTCAAGAGTTCATTGGCATCATTTTTAAATATACAAAAAAACAAATATCATTTTGTTCTGATTCCCAAAGCAGTTTCAGAAAGGGCTTTTGAGACTGACTTTGGATATGTTTTAGTCCAAGTTTAGTCAGGGTTAAGTGATTTTCTTGAAATATGAATTGATATGGTCAATATCTATTTTAAGGTTCTTTAATGGTTTTTAAATGTCTTAATGGTCTTGGGCATTCTTATCTTTCAGATTTGCTTTTATCCTATGAGCCTTCCCGGCCCCTGCGCTCCTCCAGCAGCAGACTCCTAACCATTCCCAAAGTCAGGACACACACTCACGGCGAGGCATCTTTCCAGCACTACGGCCCCCGTCTTTGGAACAGTCGGCCGCAGGAGCTCAGGGCCGCAGAGAACGTTCATATTTTTAAAATCAGGCTCAAGACACACCTTTTTAGAGTAGCTTTTGATTAGTGTTTATTATGTTTTAGACAGACCTTATTTTGGTTCTTATTTATTTATTTAATTTTATGTATTCTGTTTTGTCACTTAATTTTAGGTAGCTGTTTTACTCTTACTATTGTTAATTTTAGGTAGCTGTTTTACTCTTTATTGTATTGTTTTAGTATCCCCAGTGTTTCCTCTGGAGGAGCCCTCTGCACTGGGAGCGGCAGTCTGCTGTGGCTGCGGGGGTCTGGCTTTTGGATCTGGTAGGGGCCTGGGGTCTCCTCTCTCCTCCGGGTCCTACGAGGACCTGGTGGGAGGTCTGGGGCCTCCTCTCTCCTCTGGGTCCTGTGTCGTCCCCTGTGGTTGCAAGCGGCTCTCTGCTCCTGGTGCGGATGGCTCCCTGGATGGCGCTTCTTCAGCTGGATACATCCGCACCCAGCCCTATATCTTTTCAGTTTTACCTATTTTACCTGTCTGATGTGTTTTTATTTGTCTCTGTGTGCGTGTGCGTGTGCGTGCGTGCGTGCGTGCGTGCGTGTACCGGTATATGCATCTTGATGTATAGCTATTAATTAGGGTGGTTTATGGGTGGGTCTTTGGGGTTTATTGGGCATGTTGTATTGATTTTGACTCAGCTGTAAAGCACTTTGTGTTGCATTTCATTGTATGAAAAGCGCTTTATAAATATAGTTTGATTGATTGATTGATATAATCAACTTGTTTTTTCAGCCTTGTCCCTCATACTTTCCATCTCCAAACTTCATACCATCTCCCCCTAGTTAAATGAATGGGAATGAAGATTTGCAACTTCATGAGCACATTTTTGTTCCAATTTAAATGTAAAAACCCCCTGAAAACTAGGGGTGGGAAATGGAAGAAATTTGACAATTCGAAGGTATCATAATGTTTTTGCCACAATTCAATATTATTGCGATTCTTAACATTGCAATACAGTAATTATTGCAATTCGATTCTGCGATGTATTGCGATTTATGTGCCTCATAATATTCAAAGACATTAGAAAAATTTGGGAAAAAAATTTCAACTCAAATGTGACAGGTATTATGGTCTGTACATTAACTGAAGCAAAGAGTGAGGGGGGAAGTGCAAAAACTTTATCTTTGAACATTCAGGACACAGGACCTTATCACAGACCAGACATCAATGTTCTCTGAACATACGACTCTCACATGAAGCTGAGCTCCCAGCAATGAACTTACATTATTCACATATAACAGAGTCACAACAATCAGACATTGTAAATTACCAGATTACCAATAACCACTATTTAATTAAATATCACAATATTTTCTCTACTCTATCGATATAAATGTTAGCGCATTTAAAATCGATACAGAATCGATACAGAACAAAATCAGTTTATTCCCCCACCACTCCTGAAAACTAGTCGGGTTCTCCATAGAATAACAATATCCGGAGGTAATAATCCCCCCCTGGACTATGGTGTGATCCTGTTCTGAAGACCTCGCTCCCAAACAGTCAGAGAGAATGTTATAGCTGTCGCACAAATTCATGGTGGCAGTGTGTTGCGTGCTTATGGCTCTGGCGGCTGTAAAGATGATGGATCCGTACAAGCCGACGCTGCCGTAAACAAACCAGCATCGTCCGACAGCTGAGAAGGCTCCAGAAATAGAAACTGTGAAAAGACTTAAGGCGATCAGATGCTACTCCCCAAGTTCTGGTGATTGACGGGGTTTGGCAGGAGGTGCGAAGATACAGAAGGTGTGGAGAAGTGAAGATGTGAAAACTGCCAAAACACAACACTGCAGATCGCAAAGAGACAATTAGAATAGTTGTAACTCTAAACGCTGGTGTAATGACAAGCCACATTAATAGACAGAAGAAATGTCCCGTCGAACTTTATGTAAACTAAAGGAGCATGACCTCAGCTGACCGAGAACCTACAGCTTTCAAAAAGGTTGGATTTTGTGGGATTTTACTGTCCCTTGTCGTCCTGTGGTTTTTTTTCCTGTTAAATACTTCAGTTTTCTATAAATCCACAATTTATCCATGCAATACTTTTGTTATAAAGGACAAAAAACTGTTCTATTACTGGACTGAGACAGCTTTGAGACTGAAGGGGGCGGAGCTCGATGTGTGTGTCTGTTTTTGATTTTGGGGTGGATGGAGCTAAACACAACTCCAGGTCTGTATTTTAGGAGGAAAATGGTTAAAAATCAATTTTGCGACTGTTAAAGAAATCTGACTATAATAGAAATCTGAATTTTCATTTAATACTTTTTTAAATAATTTTCAGAGAATCCTCTTGATTTAAATACAAAACAAAAGAGCATAATTTTTTCAGTTTTCTGTAAATCACTGTGTTTTCATCTTGCATGTAACTTTGTAAAAAATGAAAGTACAAGCTACAAGGACTTCTGAGACAGCAATAGTAGACACTAGTATCAGTATACATCCAATACAAGGCCCAACCAGGACTGAAATGTTGAGTTCCGACCCAGATTATGAGAATTTTACAAAACTTCTGTCTGGAAGCTCAAGTCTCTACATTAAATATTTTCCAGATAATGTAAATATGTAAATATGTATATATATATATATATATATATATATATATATATATATATGGAGGAGAGCCCATCATGGGAGAACAAGCCCCTACACGGCATGTACCACCGGAGCTGGATCTCGGTCCAGAAAAGCTCCCAGGCCTCTGGTAGAGGACCCGAGCTTAGAGAGGGATAACCGCCCGCGGAGGGTGAGTGGACAATTTTTTATATATATATATATATATATATAAAA